GGTTCTCAATCTGTGCGTCAAGACTCCTTTGGCAAACCTCTATCTCCAAAAATATTTACATTATGATTCATAATAGCAACAGTTCTGAAATAGTAGTGAGAATAATTTTATGGTTGGGGTCACTACAACCTGAGGAACTATATTAAAGTGTAGCAGCACGAAGGCTGAGAAGCACTGCTCTAGGGGATGGAAGTGGCGTCTTTCATTGCCTCCTAGTACCTGACTCAGAGTGAGTAGCTCAGGGAGTACGGAAGTGAATTGTCCTGGGTCGGTCCAGAGTACCTTATACAACCTTGCTAAGGTTGAATAAGCACGTCCCTTCAAAATCTGTATATCAGACATTAAGAGGTGGAGCCTTCAAAGGGTCACCTATCCCAGCAGGACTCTGCCCTCATGGATGGGAGCTTCTCAACTTTTCTTCCTTGTGAGGTCACAACATTCAACTCTTTCACCTCCTTCTGCCTTCCACATACAGAGGGCCACCCTCATCAAATGGCGAGGCGAGGCTGGTGGTGCCTGGTTCTCTCACATCCTATCCTCTGGGCATCTTAAGAAACCTCTCTCTCTCTCTCTCTCTCTCTCTCTCTCTCTCTCTCTCTCTCTCTCCCTCCCTCCCTCCCTCCCTCCCTCCCTCCCTTCCTTTCCTCCCTCCTTCCCTCCCTCCATCCCTCCTTTTTAAGAAATGAGGTCTTGTTATGTTGCTGTCTTTAATTCCTGGGCTTAAGTAATCCTCTAAACTCAGGCTCTTGTGTATCTGGGATTACAGGCATGTGTCATGCTGGTCAACTGAGAAATACATTTCTAACCCTTAAAAACTACTCTTTTGTTAGAGCTTCACAGACTAGAGCATGGTTACAAAGGTATATTATTGTGGGTTGACAAAACCTCCATAGATTCTGCTATTAGAAAATGGATTGTTCCCATATGGAAAATACAGCTGAAGCAAGGTGTGATAGTCCAGACTCAGAAGATGGAGACAGAGGATCAGGAGTTCAAGGCCAGCTTCATTTTCATGGTGAGTTTGAAGTCTGCCTGAGCTCAAAAGGAGAAAGGAAGGGAGGGAGGGAAGGAGGGAGGAAGGGAGGGAGGGAAGGAGGCAGGAAAGGAATAGATCTGAAGATGAAGTCTATACATTTTATCAGTCTGTAGGACATTCCATCAAAATACTAAAACAGACACTTTATTAACAAAGATTCTTGTCATTTATTCTATATTGGATACCCAACATATTTCTGATCTCAGCATATCTTAAAAAGAAGTATAGCCGGGCGGTGGTGGTGCATGCCTTTAATCCCAGCACTTGGGAGGAAGAGGCAGGTGGATTTCTGAGTTCAAGGCCAGCCTGGTCTACAGAGTGAGTTCCAGGACAGCCAGGGCTATACAGAGAAACCCTGCTTCGAAAAAAACAAAAAACAAAAACAAAAAAAACAAAAAATAAAAAACAAAAACAACAAAAACAACAAAAAACCCAAAAAAACAAAAAAAGAAAAAACAAAAAAAACAAAAAAAGAAGTATAATTGTGCATATTATATGATTTAAAAATCCACCCATTCAGTTTACACTCATTGTGCCAGAAGCTGAACCTATAAAAACAAAAAGAGCACAGCAGGCATTGTCTTTGATTTGTCCTTGAGTCCATGGTCAACTTCAGCATCTCACAGAGAAAAAACAGCCCTTTGGAAAGTTACCAGTCATACAGTGATTGAAGCTTATCAGAATTGAGACCTGATAATTTCTTACTAAGACTAATACAGTATAAACATCACAGTGATCATTATAAAGGAAGAATGTTATTAGTGTTGAGAGAGCATCAGTTATATATATCATGTCACAACCTTTTTCAATCCCTGAACCTCATTGGTGCTGAGGACAACAAATTTCTGTGGGAGTCCAGTTTTGTGTACATGAGCATACACACACACACACACACACACACACACACGACATCTAGCAATGTGTAGAAACATTTTTAGTAGTTACAACTGTTGGGGAAAGTGGTAATCATCATCTGCTAAGAAAAGCAGCTCAACATCCCACAGTGTAGAGGACAGACCTGGCAATGAAGGAAACTATATTGCATAAATGCCAATAATGCAGACTGAAAAACTCTGGCCTTGAGGAACCAAACTGAGACTCATCCAGCTTGCATTCCAGGCTTAGACCAATGTGGTTCTGCATATTTCCCTCTGCCTTACTGTCTGAATCCTTCATCTTCCTGGGAACTGTATGTCCCAGCTCTACCAGACTGTGGCAAAATTTGAAAGGGTGATTAAATACTTAGGCTCTGAAGTCCTTGGGTCTGAACTTATGCAGAGCTGGGAACTTGGAGGAGTTCTTGGCCAATCTCTTCTCTCTCTCATCTAGCTTTTTGGCCTACAATACCATTTATATTTCTCAAATGTATAATTTGTAGCCAAGACCCTTTCTGAGTCCCAGGTTATAAATTTTAGTTTTTTTGAGACCAGATCTCATAGAGTCCATGTTATTCTAGAATTTACACATTGTCAAAGATGACCTTGAACTTCTTCCCTCCAGCTTCAACTTCCCAAGTTCTGGGTTACAGTTATACCACTGCATTCAGTTTATATGGTTCCAGGCATCAAACTCAGGGCAGTGCATGCTAGACGGACAGTCTATCCACTGAGCTACATCTCCAGTCGCTATTACTATTGTGTTATTTTTAATATAGGATCCAGTTTTGCTATGTACCCTGGGCTGGTCTTGAACATGCAGCAAGTTCTGTTTCTGCCTTATGAGTGCTGGAACTACTGGCCTGTGCCACCATGTCTAACAAATTTTAATCATTGATTAGACATCCCCAACTTAGCATACAGTAATAGTGATCAATGTTCTCTTTGCAGGTAGGGTTCATTATGTAGCCCAGGATAGCCTCAAACTCCCTATTCTCCTGCTTCAGTCCCATAAGAAATGGACTTGCAAGTATGTTCCTTCATGCCTGACCTATGATTTATTTTTTATTTGTTTTCATTTCCATGTGTGTGTATATATTTTATCAGCAACTGAGTGTACACGCCTCAAGGTCAGTGCACAGCCCAGCTTTTCCATGGGTTCTAGGAATCTGAACTCAGATTGTGCTGCAAGCCATCTCTCCAGCCCTAGAGACTTTCTTTTGGATAGGGTTCCCTTTGTAGCCCTGGCTGGCCTGGAACTCACAGAGATCCACCTGCCTCTGTCCAGGAAGTTATTGGCATATACCATCATGCCATGATCCCAGAGATATTTTTAAATATAACTATTAAACTGGACATGCTGGCTGGCACTTATAATCCCAGTGGTCAGGAGGTAGAGGTAAGATGATAAGGAGTTAAAAATCATCCCTAGCTACATAGTTTAAAAAAAAAAACCCAACTGGGGTGGGGGTGGGGCCTGGAGAGATGGCTCCGCAGTTAAAACCTCTTGCTGCTCTTTCAGAGGTCTTAATTTCCTATTACCTGCCATTGTCTGTGACTCCAGTTCCAGGGGATCAAACACCTTTGCTCTCGTGGAGCACCAGACACAAAGACATACATGCAGGCAAAATACTCACACTCATAAAATGAGAAAATAAAATTAAAAACAGCAACAGTCTGGGCTGCAACTGCCTCAAGTAAGCACCTGATCTTGAGAGATCTTTGCTCACTGCCCCCAACAGCCCCTCCTCTACACTCACCGTTCTCAAGCCACAGTGCGCACATTTCTGATGCTGAAGTGAGACAAACTTGTCCCTGTTCTAAAAGCCTTTGGACTTGGCCTTGCTGTTGTCTCGATCACTTGCCCCAGCTCAATGGCTGGGTTCTTCTCATCCTGATTTCAGACAAAGTGTCCTCGTAAGCAGGATTTCCCTCAGCAGCCTGTCAGCCCTGCCTGCCTCTCTCCACATCATCACCTGGTATTCCTTTCCGTGCTGATGACCGCTGTCTGCGATGTCTTTATGATCATCTGTCCGCTACCAGAAAAAGTGAGCTCCGTGGGCACAGGTTGACTACCATGTTCTCCCGAGGCTTTGATGCCCAGCTCTGCCTCAAACACATTAGCACTTCAGTGAATACAACTTAATAGATAAATGAAGTGAAGTGCATCCAAAGTACTGGACCCAGAAGGCCGGAGCTCTGGCTCCTATTCTACTTCCCTGTAATGTTGGCAAGCCGCTTGTCTGTCAGAGCCTCAGTTTGTCCATATGTAGGAGTGAGCACAACATCACTGTTGCTATGTATCTGTGGGAGGGTTGAAGGATACCGTGCATGTTAAAGGCCTGGTTTTGGTGCTCAGCACCCTGCATGGTGGTCAATAAATTATGGTGCTTTTTCCTTCCATCGGCCTCATTTTTCTCACAATGAGGAAAATAGTGGTGGCTGCATAGCAGTGGTTGTGTAGAAACAAGATTAATTTACAAGTTTTTCCCTCCCTTTGCCCCTGTTCATTTCCTGCCTTGGCCCAGCCCTTCCTTCTTCTCCTGCTCAGTTACCTTCTGCAGGATGCTGTCCTTGATATCCTCTCCTGGATTAGTGCTTCCTGGGGGCACCTTGGGCCTTGAATGTTTTTGTTCAAATAAACAGGCACACTGCTATCATCGTTTCTTCATTGGCCCAGTGGATGGTGGGTAGGTGAGTGGATGGTTGGATGAATGGATGGATGGAGGGAAGGAGGGATAAGGGAAGGAATCATGTTGAGAACACTTTGAGTTCAACTACTCCACAGTTAAGCAGGCTCACAGGAGTCTCTAGGGGCCAGCCTCAGCTGGTCCTGCCACTCCCTCACACTCTGGGGAACCCTGCCCTGTAGCTCCCTTGACACGAAGTCAGAGCTCCTCCAACAATCTCAGCTCGTGGTCCCCAACCATTGGCTGCAGCCTTCATTGCCCTGACCCAGGCCACGAATGGGAGGCGGCCAGGTGCTGGAGCAGGTGATCTCAGCCTGAACCCCAGGCTCAAGGTAAGAGACAGCACAAAGTGCCTGACTGGGTAGCACCTCTCCAAGACCTCTCTGCAGGACTGTGAAGATGAAGAGCCCATCGCTGCTGCCTCTGCTGCTGCTAACCACCTGCACCTTCAGGGCACAGGGGAAGAGACGACAAGTCTATTTCCGGGAGGAGTTCGAAGATGGGGGTAAGCTGTCCCGGACCAAGGCACTCCTGTTTCTCCTCAGTCACCAGTTCCAAAGGAGGTCAGGCTAACTTTCCCCCTTTGTAACTTAATCAGAATTAGAGGATCCAAAGTTTAAATCCCCAGCTGTGGCCTTGGGTCTGTGTTTGGATTTCTTCTCTAGTAAAAGGATATAGAGGTTGAAAAATTATTATGACAGTTTAAAAAAAGACAAGCCGTGCATGGTGCTGTACATGTGGTATGTTCAATGTTGTTTAGTCATCCCTTTATCCTGAAAACAGAAGCAAGCGAACCCAGAGTAAAAGTGCCACCACCACCTCTGGTGAGAATAGCAAGACTCTGTGCCCCATAAAATTCAAGCACTTGGAGGATCTGAGAGGTCACCTCATTCAACCTTCTCCCTGGAATGTCTCAGGAACATCTGGAATTGTGGCAGGGCAACTGATGACATAGGTTTTCTTTGTTAGCTTCTTTCAGACTGTCAGGCTGGTCTTGAACTCCCTACATAGCTGTATAATCCTCCACACTGTGCCTCCTGGGTGCAGAGATTTATACAGGCATTTGTCACCACATCCAGTTTGTCCCCAGTGCTGAGGACCAAAGCCACAGTTTGATGAGGGCTAGGCAAGCACTCTGCCAACCGAGCGACATCCCCAGCGGTAGTGGTGTCGGGGCTTACTTTCAGTGACTCCGTTTCAGCCTTTGTGTGCCTGTGTGTGTTTGAGTGTGTGATTGGGGAGAGTAGAGTGAATAAGCGTTCACCTAAGAATCAGGACTTTGGGATTTGAGTCCATATTCCACCTTGAAAAAGTAGACAAGCCCCCTCTGCTTCCTGAGACTCAATCCACTGACCCATGATAACAGCATATTGAGGGTATTGATGTGAAGAGATAGTACAGAAGACAGGATGGATGGACCTAGTCAGGGGGCAGTGCAGCAGGCTTCAAGGAGAAGACAGACGCTTGTATTAAACAGACAGACAAGAGTTTATCAGGACTGACAGACCTAGAGTGGCATCTTAGGGGACTTGGCAAGTGTGTGGTGAGGTTAGGGATGGGAGACAGGGGCTAGCTCAGGAGGCTGTGGAGCCTGGTCTCTTGCTGGAAGCAGTAGGAAGCTAGTGAAAGTGGAAAGCAAGGAGAGACAAGGGCTAACCCGTGTCTTGGAAAAAAAGTGGAAGACACATGTAAGGTTAGGTTGTGAGCTGGGAGTATCGGCTCATGTGCTAATTCCAACATTGAGTTACACAGCAAGTACCAAGCCAGACATAATAGGAAGACCTTATCTAGGAAAAAAATAAAAAATTAAATTAAAAGCCAAATGTGATGGTTCATAGACCTATCATTTAACCTAGCACTCAGGAGGCTGGGTTGGAGCCCAGCCTGAGCTACATAGAGTTTTAGACCAGTCTGGGCTATACTGTCTCAAAATTCCAAAAATGAAAAAGAAAATCAGATTTTGAGACTGCTCAGTTTGAGTCTAGAGATAGGAAGCCATCTAAGAGGATGTTAGAATTTTGGTGAAGAGCTGGGGTAGTATCAGGGTGGCAAAGATCAGAATACAGGGGAAAAAAGTGTTTAGTGGCTGGCAAGGACCCCCAACCCATGATTTGCTGTGGTTTAACCTGTTCACTGAGGACAGATTGGTAGCCCCTTTCCTGACTAACCTTTCAGTGAGCCCAGTGTGGCCACAGCTTCTGACCACTGCTCCTGGGCCACCTCCCTGCTTGGCCTGGCTGAGACCCAAACCCTCATCCCTCCAGCCAGAGGCAAGGAGAACATGCACGGGCCTGCAGGCCCTTCCCCAGAGACAGGGCTCCACTTGTCCAGCGTGGAAGGAGGGAAATGCCTACGGGTTTTACTAATAAATGTTTCTGAAATGTACCTTGGGGTCGGGAAAGAACTGGCTCTTATCCAAGATGCTTAGAGGAGGTCGAGCTTGCGACTGGAGTAAAGCAGGAAGGGAAGCAGCTACAAGGGAGCTCCTTCTCCCAGGCAGCCTGGCCTGGGCCGGCTCTGGGTCTGGCCAGTATGAACCGGCTCACACTCTATGAACTCTATGACCCTATGCCTCTCCGATTCCCTCCGTGCTTCAAAGTCTGTGACCGCCTAGGGAGAAGCCGGGGTAGGAGTATAGAATGAAAGGACTGGATTTTTGACACGTACCAAAAAAACTAAACAAAACAAAAAACCCTAAGAGGAAATTGTTGGTGCAGTCTTCCCCTAAAAGGACCAAAACCTACTTACAGGGCCCCAATACCGTTAAAGTGGTCAGAACTGGAAAGATTTAGGCTCTCATGTGTTCTATCCCAATTCAGAGAGACTGATATATAAACCAGACACTCAGTTCATCCATACTTTTGTTGAAAACACAGCTGAGGTGTCCTCCAGGCCTCTGGACTTCTCTGTCTTAAGCAGACTATCCACCCACAGATTTTTTTTGAGTCTGAGAATTATCTTTAAGTCCTTAATGTTCTTCTTCTCCCTCTAATCTATCAGCAAGTCTTCTAACTGGTTCTGTCTTCAAAATATATTTAGAATAGTGTGGTAACTTTTGCCTATAATTCCAGCAGCACTTGGGAGGAGGGAGGAGGGAGGAGGGGAGGAAGAAGAGGAGGAGGAAGAAGAAAAATGAGCTGTATGTAGTTCAAGGCCAGTCTTAGCTATAAAGCAAGTTTGAGGCTAGATGGATTACTTAAGATCCTGTGTCAAAAAGTGTCACTACCGGGGCTGGTGAGATGGCTCAGTGGTTAAGAGCACTGACTGATGTTCCAGAGGTCCTGAGTTCAATTCCCAGCAACCACATGGTGGCTCACAACCATCTGTAATGAGATCTGATGCCCTCTTCTGGTGACAGCTGCAGTGTACTCATATATACATAAAGTAAATAAGTAATTCTTTAAAAAAAAAAAAGTGTCACTACCACTGAGAATGTGAATATATCCAGACCATGCTGTGATCAACCTCCCACATCGCCCCCCCACCCACCCCACCTACTCACTCGCACGTGCATACTACAGTGACTTGGATGGCTTCTCTACTACTTCCCTGCAAACTCCTTTTGGTGTTTGGTTGGTTAGTTGGTTTGGTTTGGTTTTTTGAGATAGGGTTGCTCTTTGTGCCCTGGCTGTCCTAGAACTCTCTCTCTCTCTGTAGACCAGGCTGGCCTCCAACTCATGGAGATCCACCTGCCTCTGCCTCCAGAGGGCTGGGATTAAAAGTGTGTGCCACTGTACCAGGCTTTTTTGTTTTGTTTAAGGCAGAGTCTCTCTTTGCAGCCCTGGGTGGTCTTAATAGTGAACAAACCTGCCTCTGTAGAATTAGGGCATAAGCCACCAGACCTGGCCGTGTTTTGAGACAAGGTTTCTTGCAACACAGCTGACCTTGAACCCTTCATCCCTTGCCTCTGCCTCCCATTGTTTGGTCCCACGTCCAGATTCACCCAGTCTCTTCTGATGCACATTTTACAATGTTTCTGTTGAGGTTGATAAGATAATCCCTTACTTAGAGAAACACAAACAACATCTGTCCCAGCCGTATAGACACTAACTACAAACTAAAGTGTTATTCCACTGGGGAATGAGTGAGTTTATTGGGCTTGCTCCTAACGTATGGACAAAGAGCTACTTACAGAAGAGTGGAGGACCCTAAAGCAACCTCACAAGAAAGTCTTCAACCAGATCCGTAGATGGAGTTTCCTTTCCATTAACCTCCCTAACCTTTATACCCTAACACTTTCCAGTGTATCCCCGTTTTCCATCCTCCAATCCTTGAATGGTATCCTCAAGTTCACTAAGTAGCTGAGGATGGCCTTCGATTTCTGAATCTTTCCTATACCTTCAAAGGACCGGGATTATAGATGTAAGCTACTGTGCCTAAGTTTTTAATAACTTTATTTTTTTAATCAACTTTTTGGACATATAATCATCTATTGTTCAGGATTTTTTGTTTTTATTTTTTGTTTGTTTTAGCTCTTTCATATGTTGAAAAAGGTTAAGGGAAAAGAGGCTGAATGATTTCCCCACCACCACCAAGGTTAAGCAGTGAGTGTCAACAGCAGTTCGGATTTGCAAGCTAATAAAAAAAAAAAACTAATAAAATATAAATAAAACAGAAAGGGGCAGGGGAAACAGATGGGAGGACTGCAGATATAACTCAGGGGTGGGGACACTTGCCCAGCATGCATGACACCCTCGTTTGATCTCTACCACAGCAGTGTAGAAAAGCAGGTGGATTTCTGAGTTCAAGGCCAGCCTGGTCTACAGAGTGAGCTCCAGGACAGCCAGGGCTATACAGAGAAACCCTATCTCAAAAAACCAAAAAACAAAACAAAATAAATAAAAATAAGTAAAAATAAAAAAAATTAATTATAAAAAGCAAAATATCTGTAATCAGGTCACTGAGTAGGTAGAGGAAGATCAGGCAGGAGTCTAACGCTAGTATTATCTATTTAGCAAGTTCAAGGTCAAACTGGACTACAGGAGAACCTAAAGAAAGAAAAAAACCTCACCAAAGGGAAGGAAAAAGATAAACAAACCCCCAATTTCCTTCATTGCTCCCTGCCGTGCTCTGGCTCAACTGTACCTGATACCTTGAGTAACAGTGACTAAGCGTGGTGTTCCCTAGGCACGATGCTGCTCATGCCTCAGTTCACCTCTGCAAAGTAGTTCTTCATCTTCCCAAAGCCCCAAGAAGCAGAAAAGGCCGTGTGGCTACTGAAGTAGCAAATTTGAATCTAGGACCATAGGATTTCAAAACTCATTTTTCTTGCACTGCTTTGACTGTCCTCCACTGCCTTCACCCCCACGAGCCAAGTAAGCTAGACGCCTTCCAGCTTGGCGAAGGTATACTTCACGAAAGTATTTCTTACATGCTTTAATGTCAAAAACAAAAGGATCCAGAGAGGTCATCTAAGCCAAATGCCTCCGGGAGGCAGATACAGATCCTTGCTTTCTACTTTCCTTTAGAATATTCTAGATCATAGAGCATCACAGTACTGAGAGG